TGATTTGCCGACGATATAGTCCTTATGGCAGAATCGCTGGAGGACCTAAGCACTATGCTCAATGACCTCAATAGTCTTTCCCAACGGATAGGTCTTAAGATGAACATGGACAAAACAAAGATCATGTTTAATGTCCATGTCACACCTATGCCGGTAGTTGTTGGGAACACTAAGCTCGAAGTTGTTGACGAGTATGTTTACCTGGGACAAATAGTCCGACTAGGTAAGTCCAACTTCGACCGAGAGGTCAATCGACGGATTCAACTCGGTTGGGCAGCGTTCGGGAAATTACGGCACATCTTCTCGTCAGGTATACGTCAAAACTTGAAAACGAGACTGTACACCCAGTGCGTGTTTCCAGTGATGACATACGGAACTGAGACGTGGTCCTTCACTGCTGGCCGGATGAGGAAGCTCAAGGTCGCTCAGCGAGCTATGGAGAGGGCTATGCTCGGAGTTTCTCTGCGTGATAAACTCAGAAATGAGGAAATCCGCAGTAGAACTAGAGTGACCGACATAGCCCAACGGATTAGTAAACTGAAGTGGCAATGGGCCGGCCATATAGCTCGAAGAACCGACAACCGATGGGGAAGAAAGGTTCTCGAGTGGCAGCCTCGTACCGGCAGGCGAAGTGTAGGGCGTCCCCCCACTAGATGGAGTGACGACCTGGTAAGATATGCAGGAAGTCGATGGATGCAGGTGGCTCAGGACCGTGCTTTGTGGCATTCTTTGGGGGAGGCCTATGTTCAGCAGTGGACTTGTGAAGGGCTGTAATGATGATGATGATGAGATGTCAATTCTAAATATTATAGTTCTATGGTCCACAAGATACGTAACAAAAATTTGCATTTCGTTTATTTTTTGTATTTGCTTCTGAAAAATTGTTAAGCTACAAGTAAAATACCTAACATTCATACATAATTATAATTCCTAATTATAAACAAAATCGATAAACCTAAACTCTTACAGATGATTCTGTTATTTCGTCATGCCTATTTGTTAATTTATCAATAAGCCGCAGTTTTTTAACAAAATCATTAGGCATATTTAGTTTTTTTTCATTGTTATTGTAGCTTAGAAAAGTTTTAGGTAGGTACTTACACATTGGAAATACTAACTTTCGTGTTGATATTTTCAACTTTCTTCCTGTAAAAAATAATTACATTTCAAACGTGTTTTTAGTTATTATTTATAAAAGTAATTAATAAAATTATGTAAACATGTAATACTTAAACTAAAAAATAAAAAATAAAATTTGACTTCATATTCCTGGAATCGAACCCGGCACTTTCGAGTGCAAACTGCAAAATATAGGTTTATTGTTATAAAAATAAATATGTTTTTTTAGTAATTATTTATAAAAGTATTTAATAAATTTCTCTAAATATGTAATACTTTAAATAAAAAAGAAAAAAAAATAACTTCATATTCCTGGAATCGAACCCAGGTACTCTCGAGTGCAAACTGCAAATCCATAATTCTACAAAATGCGCTACTCTAATACACTAAGTTTCCTAAATTCATAGGTTTATTGTTATAAAAATAAATATATTTTTTAGTTATTATTTAGAAAAATATTTAATAAATTTATCTAAATATATAATACCTTAAATAAAAAATGAAATTTGACTTCACATTCCTGGAATCGAACCCAGGTACTCAGGTATACACTACGTTTCCAATTCATAAGTTTATTTCATGAAGCTAATACAAAGGGGAGACGGCATAAGCAACTGTGCACTGTGATTCTAAGTAGGTCCTGACGTCATCATAGTGGGCGTGGCTTTAGTTAGTATACTGTCAGCATTCGTCCTGTGCGCTCATGTGTTGAAAAAATCGCAAATCGATGTATTTTCGTAGTATTAAGGAGAAAAGGATGAAGTGTTGTGTTTTATTGTGTAAAAACTACTCAGATAGACGCTCTGATGTTATGGATGGCATCACATTTCATTTGTAAATAATTTTACACCTAATTTATTAAAATAGTTCTAGAAAAATCTTTGCGTCGGCTTTCAAATATAATTAAATATATTCCACACTAGATGGCGACACTTTGTGTCCTCTGAACTAAAAATATAAAGGTACGTAGAGCTCAGTAACGATAAAATAATCATACGAAGGTGCTAAAATTTGTTATGCATTCAGACATAAAGAAATTTTAATCGCCAAAATATTATTTTTTAGTTTATAACATTTTGTGGATATGTCGCCATCTACCGTCAAGGTAGCTAAGCTACATTGCAACATTGATATGGAAAGATTCGAGTAGTTTTACTATTTATCGGTAGATGTAGATAGTGTAGTGGGCGGGGCTTTGCATCCCCTCACCCCGAAAATTGTCACGCGTTGTTTCATAGTGAAATTGAATTACAACGTCTCCTCTTTGTATTTGCTTCATGGTTTATTGTTATAAAAATAAATATTTAGTAATAATAAAATGTTCTTACCTTTTAATATCATTCATATGTTGAGCGTTTGAGTTATATGAACTTTTTTATTCTTCGTAGCGGGTTTCATTTTTATTTCCCATATTTACCAATTATAATTATTAACTTAATTTAAATTAATCTAAACTCAAAATATTTTATATTTACACGAAAGAGGAATATTTATGAAAAGAAAAACATTTATGCATATGAAACAATGAATTTAAAAATAAAATTTTACAAAAACATTAAACAATCTTTACGTAAATAATGCGGCAAAGAGAGCGACACGTCTGTATAGCATCGGGCCTCGGCCAGCAGTGTCGGTACACACTACACAGGCGTTTACGCACACATCCGTACATATTATTTCAGAAATAAAAAAATGCGATGTAAAGAAATTCTATATATTTTATTAAAAAACTAAAGCACTATTACGTTAACATGTTGCTTGTAGAATATTCTGACAAAAATCAAAATGATTGCATGTATATTAGTATGGTTTTTACTCGTTAAAAAAAATTAGAGGTATCTTTATGATTTTTTTCTATCGTATCAAATTAGTAGTATCATGTTTTCATCACACTATCTAACTAGCATATATACTAAAAATATCATATATTTTTCTGATTTAGTTAACTGCATTGGATGATATACTTTAAGGCAATATAAATCTTCGTTTAGCTCCTGTAGTCCCCTTAAGCAAGATTTGAAAGTTTTCTTGCGCGACATCGCTTCTTTTCTTTAAACGCCATATTGTATTTTCTGTTTCGATTTTCTGTTTCATTGTTGGTAACATATCATCCCTATTTTAAATAGGTGAGAATGTTTGTATTAATTTGATACACAAATACTAACACGTTATCTAGAATTTTTAGAAACAAATAATACATTATCTGTCCCTCTTTGATTTTAAACTAACTTTCTCTCTGTACCTATTTTCACACATTAAATACTTTTTATAAGTCCACTGCTGAATACAAGCATCTACCATAAATGGCTCATAAGAGGAACATAATCCATCCATGCCTTCACGAGGCAAATGCACTTTAGGTATTCCTTGATAATCATGACGATCATGTTCATGTTTTCTCAACGGTTTTAGTACAATTGAGTACGTTTTTAAATTAAATTTAAATTCAATAGACCCTTATAGTATTATCGACCATAAATTTTAACCAATTTAATAGTATTTAAGCTTCCAAATATCTCGGATTCGTTTTATCCATCAACACTAGTTTAATACTGCTTGAAGCTAGGAACAATGGGGTTAAGACTAGTTTATTAACCTTTGCAAGTATTTCCCGTAATCACATCTCTAACAGGTATGTGCTGAAATGAAGGTAGAAATTTGTAACATTGTTAATGAAGGAGAAATTCAGTTATCCCTAATCCGAACATGTTAAGTTTATTCTAAAGGTAATATTCAAATTGTTTAAATTAGGTCTATATTTGGTAGCAGCGTGGTTTATGAGAATACCTGCTAACTAAATCATAGTTTCTAGGTTGCAATTAGGGTGTTGGTGATATTTCCGTAAAAAGTACATACGCATTTTGGGTCTGCATTGCGTTGTTTATATTATCTGGTACAAATCGTTTCCCAAATTCGAATAACATTTTTTTTTATATAAGAGTTATAATACATATTTTTAGAAAGGTATTGCGAAGTTGCGTTCTGCAGGTTGCCGCCGTGTTTGGCATTACAGGTCGGCGGATTGGGACGGAATGCGGTCTTTCTTTGCATCCTACCCATGGGGGCGGGTTTGCTTCTCGCTGGATGATCCCAGCGCTGTTGCTGACTCTGTCACTGATGTGGTGCTACAGGGAATGGAACTATTTATTCCATCATCTGTGGTACCCATCGGAGGCAGATCTCAGCCTTGGTTTGGTCGCTCCTGTAAGACTGCATTACGCAGTAAGCAGGAGTGTTATCAAGCCTGGGCTGCGGCTTCGGCGACTCGGGATGTAAACACCAGCACACTTAAAAAGAAGTATAACTTCGCCTCCAGGTCCTTCAAAATAGTTATTGCCAAGGCAAAGTCAGAGCACATAGGCAGAATTGGCGAGAAACTAGTTCGCCTTCCTTCGGGAACCCGTGCATTCTGGTCTCTCGCCAAGGCTGTCCAAGGGAATTTCTGTAAGCCATCACTACCATCTCTGCACAGGGAGGACGATTCACTAGCCCAAGACGCAAAAGACAAAGCTGACCTTTTAGGCTCCCTTTTTGCGTCCAACTCGACTCTTGATGACGGGGGGAAAACACCGCCGACCATACCGCGGTGTGAGTGTTCCATGCCGGATGTGCTGTTCTCACAGCGCTCGGTTTGCAAAGCATTTCTCTCCCTGGACATCCAGAAGTCTAGTGGGCCTGACGGAATCCCCCCAATTGTGCTGAGGACGTGTGCTCCGGAGTTAGCACCGGTCCTAACGCGTCTGTTCCGGTACTCTTACTCCCAAGGCGTAGTCCCGAATTCATGGAAGACAGCTTTTGTCCACCCGATCCCTAAAAAAGGCGACCGCTCAGACCCGTCCAACTATAGGCCTATCGCGATCACCTCCTTGTTCTCCAAAATAATGGAATCCAATATTAACTGCCAGCTCATCCGATACCTTGAGGACCGCCAATACGGTTTTCGTCGGGGTCGATCAGCTGGTGAACTTCTGGTCTACCTGACCCATAGATGGGCGGAGGCAGTAGAGTCCAAGGGGGAGGTGTTGGCCGTTAGTCTGGACATTGCGAAGGCCTTCGATCCGGTTAGGCACAAAGCGCTTCTTTCGAAGCTCCCTTCCTATGGGCTTCCCGAGAAATTGTGCAATTGGATCACCAGCTTCCTTGCAGATCGGAGCATCAAGGTCGTTGTAGACGGTGCATGTTCTGACTACAAGTCTATTAACGCTGGTGTTCCACAAGGCTGTGTGCTATCACCAACGCTGTTTCTTCTGCATAACAATGATATGTTGCTAACTGGTAACATTCATTGCTATGCGGATGACAGCACTGGTGATGCTCTATACACCGGCCGTACCAATATTTCTCGGGAAAACGTCGCCGAGTACCGAAATAAACTTGTGTCTGAAGTCGAGTCTTTACTGAACAAAGTCTCGGATTGGGGACGACTAAATCTAGTCCAGTTTAATCCTCAGAAGACACAAGTTTGCGCGTTTACCGCTAAAAATAACCCCTTTGTCATATCACCTCAGTTTCAAGGCACTCCCCTTCTTGCCTCAGCCAGTATCGGTATCCTCGGAGTCAACATATCGAGTGACGTGCAGTTTCGTGGTCACTTGGAAGACAAGGCCAAATTGGCCTCCAAAAAGCTTGGCGTGCTCAGCAGAGCGGGACAGTATTTCATGCCGGCACACCGCCTGCAACTTTACAAGGCGCAGGTTCGGCCCCACATGGAATACTGTTCCCATCTCTGGCCAGGGGCTCCCCAGTGCCAGCTCCTTCCACTTGACCGCATCCAGCGTAGAGCGGCTCGAATCATCGACGACCGAGCCCTTTCCAATCGGCTCGATTCATTGGCACTGCGTAGCAGCATTCCAGCATTGGCATCCCTTTGCATTTTCTTTCGCATCTACCATGGGGAGTGCTCTGAGGAATTGTACGGATTAATCCCAGCCGCCAAATTTCAGGAACGCACATCGCGGCAGAACTCCCGATACCATCCACACCATCTGGACGATTGGCGGTCCACCACTGTGCGATTTAGAAGATGTTTACTTCCTCGCATGGTTTCCTTGTGGAATCGATTACCATCAGCGATTTTTCCGGACCGATACGACTTAGTGACCTTCAAGAAAAGAGCGTACTCCTTTTTAAAAGGCCGGCAACGCATCTGCAATTTCCCTGGTTCCCCTGGTGTTGCAGTTGTTCGTGGGCGGCGGTAGTCACTTACCATCAAGTGAGCCGCATGCTCGTTTGCCCCTCTCCTATAAAAAAAAAAAAAAACAGAAACATGCGTTTGTTTTTACTTAAAGGCAGGTCTTATAAAACATGTACTCAAATAATTGTTTTTTATAAAAATCTTCTTACCAAGGTCACCTTGAAGACCCCACTTTTTTGACAATCTGGGTGATGGTAGATACAGCTATTGATAAAATCCTTAATGCCTGTCTATCGTTTGCTCAGCGGTGACCAGGAGACAACACGATTATTTGATCACCTTAGTGAGACTGCTGATGTGGCCATAAATCAATATGCTTCTGCGCAGCTGGTCTTTCTGGGGGGCTTTAACGCTAGTTACGAAGATTGGCTGATCCCATGCCAAAAGATCGACCATGCTGGAAGAGAAGCGTGGAATTTCGCCTTGACGCTAGGTCGTTCTCAGCTGGTAAAGAAAGCGACTAGGGTACCCGATTTAGACGGTCACATAGCCAATTAGCACATAGCCAATTTATTACACTCCTTTGTTGTTGTACGCAATATGAAAGACGAAGTTTGATGAACGTAATCATTTATCCGGCTTTGAACGGATGTTGTTTATCAGTGTAAAATGTCTGTATTTTTGTGTGCGTTTGTGTTACAAAAGCCTATTATTATTGCCTTTAAGATATACTAGATTGTAATCAAACAAAAAAACAGACGCAGAAATTTTATTTCACTCATTTGCTGCACGCATTACAAAAGAGGAAACAAGCCGTTTGGATCGAATGTGTTGACAACTAATATGTGAAGGACCAGCAACAAACTGGTTGTCCGATGGTGAAAAGGCATGTAATCGATACGCAAACTATCCAACGTGCATCTTATAGAAAACGAAGAAGCTGGCTACTGTGCGTACAGGTGTGGTTTAACAAGTTTAGTTCTCGACAAACCTAGGTCACCAATAATTTCTATTTTTACGTTACGGGGGGTATTAGACTTTTCTTTTGTATTGTGGGGGCAGTTTACATACACAAATTGCACAAGGACATACATCCAAACCCGAAAAAATTTATTTGTGGGCCATACGAATACTGTTGCTACTACACCATGGAATCAAGGTCGCCAATAAGCCTCATACTACGCTTTTCCACTGAGTCCAACTTTCGCGATGTTCGATTTTTCTACAACATCTGACGGTACTTATACTCATGTAACCAATTATTTATTATGCAAATGTTTGTTATACATTATTCTTAATAAGTTCAAATTCCTCGTATTTAAACATGATCATAATATCTTTGAACATCGTTCGTGCCTAATAAATAGCTCACTATTAAGTAGAGGGTTGGCTATAAAATTTTGCTTATTTTTTTCCTGAATTTTATTTCATCCTAAAACGAGATTGCGCTTAATAAATAAATAATATGTAAATCTCTAAATATGTAATATAGTTGCAGTACCAGTTGGTCGACTTGACCAGCATCGCGCTCTCACAATTAGGTACAGTTCCTAGTGGTGAGTGAAGAAGATTGGACAATTTTGGCCGCGGCACGAAAAGGGGAGATCACCCGCCGGACAATGCGATTGGCCCAGGGGGCAGCCAATGCTCCGTGTTGTTGTACAGAACTATTCTATTTATACCGCAGTACTTCAAAATTTTGTTAGCACGATTTTGGCTGCATTTCGCTTCGCTTCTTTTTTCTACTTTTTGCTGTAATTTAAATATTCCATCTTAGTTCTCAGTAGTACCAACGCAACTGCATTTTGATTCTTAATCAAAGCTATAATATGTAGGCACGGGTCATTACCATTACTCCTTTGAATCTAATTCTCTTTCCTAAAAATAGTCGAAAGCCGTAAAATATGTTTTTTGAACAATATAAGCACTTTAAATGTTAATAATACGGAAAAAACATTTTTACGTATTTTGTGATTTTTAAATATATTTAATATTAAAATTTTAAAGTCATTTTACTTATATTTTGTTTTTGCTAGCGCTGGATAGCGCGTTTTATTTTATAATTTATTCATACATAATTCAAGGGTGAATATTAAATTCATGCATATAAATTGCTTTTTATTATTAGCTAGCTATTATATAGAGTAAGCGTAGCCATTATTACGGTTTTATTTGTTTATTTTACAATTTTTATTTGCATTTAAAAAAGTTTGAAGGAATACGCTAGGAGTGCACATTTAATAGTTACTAGCTTTTATAGGTTTAACGACAATTGATTGAAGTTAAACAAAAGGTCAACCTTGCTTATGACTATTAAAGTTTTATGATTAAAATTAGAGCGGAATTAGACGGTCAGCACACGGTCTAAGGCGTGATTGCGATGTTTATTGCTGGCAGTTTCATCGCTTAGTGCTGGCGTAGCAGGGCTTCAGTTAAAATAAAACTTTATGGGAGACCCGACATATTGTGCTTTCATTTTGAGCAACTCTTAATGACTGACTCTTGCTTTAGCTCCTTTGCGGACTACAAATAAGAAATGGAATAGTGACTGATATTTTAATACGTAGAGCCATCAATTTTTATAAAAAAATAATAAATTAATGCATTCCGTTAGAGACTTGTTGAGTACAAAACGCTGAAGTGGTTTGAAAGTTATTTAACTGGCTGTTAGCAACAAGTAATTTTAGATAGGCACAATAGTAAAAACTGTTTTTCTAAGCTTCTTCCTGTTGATAGAGGTGTTCCTCAAGGTTCCGTGTTAGGGCCTTTGCTTTTTATTATTTACAGCGCTGATATAATAAACTATTTCAAAAACTGTAAATATCATCTATACGCTGATGGTTTTTACGTATATATTCCTGTAGATCGAAAAAATACTAGCACATTAGTAAATATGTTAAATCAAGATCTTCAACGTGTTTACGATTGGTCATAAAATAACTCCATGGTTCTTAATCCTTCGAAGTCAAAATTGCTTATCATTGGCACTAAAAGTCAGGTACATGATATAGCTATAACTAAACTTGATATAAATTTTAATGGAGAGACAATTGCACAAGTTCATGAAGCACGAAATTAAGACATTATTTTTGACAGCAATTTGAGGTTTAAAAATCATGTAATTAATTTGGTACAAAACTGCTTTTACAGGTTAAAAGTTCTATACAGATTTAGACCATTTATTACAGTTAATTTACGTGCAAAGCTTTGTAATGTCCTAGTTTTTAGCTAAATAAAATTTTAGTAAAACTGTTTATGTACAGAATGCTTGTGCACGCTTTTGTTTTTACTTACCGAGATCATCTCATGTTACATCATATCTTAATGCCTCAAATATGTTAAAAATGCAGGGGCGTCTCAAACTTTTATATGCTTCTTTGCGATTCGGTGTAATAAATACAAAGAATCCAAAATATTTATAGAAAAAACTTAACTAAATGACAAATATTTATATAAAAAACGAACATGTTTTTTGTTTAAAGTATTAATAGTATAAAGTAAAAATATATAACACAAGTTTTTTGCGGTCCTAAACACAAAACATCGGCTTTACGAGGTGGTTTTAAGTTTATGGCAACTAAGTGTTAGAATGATCTCCCACCACCACAACGCACTATAAGGTTTTTTTTTAGGATAATGGTGACAAACGAGCACACAGTCCACCTGATGGTAAGTGGTTGCTGCGGCCCATAGACATCTACAACTATCCTCTTTTGCGAATCTAAATGCAGATGCGTTTTCACCCGTGAGGATTAAGATGGAATGCCTCATTTCCAGTAAAAAGGGCCTCCGGCCACCTGCACTCACTAAGCGAAACGCAGAAGTAAACCTCTACTTCACGCTGGTATTCTGTGAGGTCGTGGTACCACCCCGGTTCGAGCCGGCTCATCCGTGCGACAGCAAAAGCTGCCGCGTGGCTCTACCACTGTTTAAAGGTAAACCAACTTTAAAGAGAATTATATACGTGACTTACTAAGAGAACAAATAGTGTCATAATGGGTTTATTTTTACTTAATTGCAGGACCGCCCAGTAAATACTTAAAATAAATAAAAATTGCGATGTAGTAGGTGG